AAAGCTAGGATCGGTTATAATTCGCTAGGTCGACGCTTTCGAACTTCTCGGGTCGCTGAGATCGTAACGCTAATTCTCTGAGATGGTGAAGTCGAAACTTTTTTTCTGTACGCTACTTTGTACAATTTATACTACAGGAATGGCTTTGCGACCGTCCGGAGATAAATAACAAATAACCGCCGCTACCCACAGGATTGCTCAGCACTTGCCGCCGTTATACCATACACCATACGACTCCCTTGCACTCCCACTTGCTCGTCCCAGCCCCTATAGGTCGCCTCGACGCTTCGCCACCTGACCCAAGCGGTCCCATCACTCCGTGCGACACGCCGGTCACGTGTTAATTACCTCCGGCCGTTTGCTGACTGATGCTGACCTTATGGTGACTCGTATGCGTCCGCACCTTCGGTATCTTGACGGAAACGAGGGGGAGTAAGTGCTGGAGGGTGGGCATGAGGAAGACACCCCTCGATAGAAGTGTCCGCGGGTCCCGGAGCTAATTCAGCTAGAAGTCGCATTGGTTAAGTCACTCCGGAGCTTCGGTGCGCGGAGATAAATCACGGAATGGGTCTGAGTACGCCTCGAGGATGTTGGGAAGTCCGGAGCTAAATAGAAAAAGTCTTTTAGAGCCCATAGAAGCCTAGAGGCGTGCAAGCGCTGTGTCGAATAAGCTCCGGGGCACTTGTATGATGTGCTGAATCCGCGTGTTCGGGGGTCAGACGATCCTGAGGCTTATCACCGGCTGGGAAGACCATACCTCTCAACGCCGGTGAGGAATAAAGCTAGGACGGTGTCGGCCCGGTTATTGTTGTGTACACCTATGGCACCCACAAGTCAGGCCATTCCCTCAATGAACGCATGGGTAATGAGCTTCCACCGTATTAGCACTGGATAATGGGAGTTGGTGAGGATCTGAATTAGGGTGTTGTGTGATAAAATTGACCATGCTGACCATCACCATGCCAGAGGCAATTGACTCTCGCAACATGGTACTTCTGCTGGAGAATGCGCCTGTCACCGAAGAGGTGAGGGATGCCATGGACATGGAGGTATGATGCTACAATCCTCTCACGCTGGATGCGAAGGCCCATGGACTGCAGGTGGCCAGCAATCATGTGATGACCAACATTGGGAAAGGACTGCAAGATATGTGAGCATCCAAATCTTGATCAGAGATCACAGAGAAAGCCGCGGTGCGGGAGGTCCATGTGCGATGAGTGTTGCCTTCCTCATCCACTTCAATGCGAGAGACAGGTGGGGTGGGCTCAACAAGGCCGTATTCCAAGGCGCAACGTCTGACGGTGCGGGACGAAACATGCAAGACATCTGCAATGCCGCTGGGGCCTCGGAGTTCAAGGGCAGTGGCAAGAAATGAAGGCTCGATGTAGATCTTGAGGCGGCTGTGAGATCCATGTTGATTGCGGCAGGTAACGGATGGTTGAGGGGGAGGGGTAGGGGCAGGGTCGGCAGGGGCATGTCTCACTTTGTCAAGGCATGGCAGCATGTCGGCAATACTGGAGGAAAGGGTGGCAAACTCAGACGCAGGGAAGTGATGTGAGTGCTATAAGATTAATGTAATCGGAGAAAGGATTGTTTAAAAGTCATATACGAGGGAACTTGGAAACTGACCTGCTGTGCTGCAGCGAGGAACATTAGGACTTCCTGCCGCTGCTGGTCCAGGTGGGGTAAATCTCCAACTCGGGTAAGAACAGTGAGACGAACATCATCACATAGAAGGCGGTAAGCAGTTGCGAAGAATATCCATCACCGAGGAGTGTTGTAGGAATTGGAGAGGAGGGGATGATGTCTCAGTTGCAAAGGGTTAAACATTTATTGGTTTCATTGATAGTGTGGAACGGAAATAAACTAAGAGTGGTAGAGCATGTTGCGAAGACAGGAAATATGTTGAGAAGGGTGTATACATGACACAGGTGTAACAGGACAAATTATGAACTATTGCTAAGTGTCTAGGAAATGCAATTAAATTGATATTGGATAGGGAAGGGGCAATAGAATGTGGCTAATTCTGTGGATTAAATCTGAGATCTAGTTCAGTCGAGGAAGGATGATTGTGGCAGTGCCGGAATGACAAATGGATCTGCACGCGTGCCGGAGAAGTATCGAGCAGGATCCCAGTGAAATGCTGGAGAATGCCAACGAGTGCTGGCATGAGTGCTGCACTGCACTGCTCATCCGTCTACTGTTCGGCTCTGTCTCTCTGCTCATAATTTCCCATGTAAAAAAAGTACGACATGCGGCACTCACATGAAAGCAACACCGACAGACATGATTCCTGTCGTGTCCTTGTAGAAGGTGAATGGGATATGCAAAGTATCCACAGAGGCCCAAGAGCATGCACGTCCGATCGGGGGAGGCATCCGCCGAGTAGGACTTCGACAGACTCATCATGAGAACTCGTCAACGTCATATAAGGTGCTATTACAATCCTTTGCACGTATTTCCATCCCATACTATTGATTGGCATGTACCTGATCAAACCAGATTGGCGCAGAGAATACGGAGGGACGGACGAAGTGACTATCCCGGGGAAGGGGGGTGGACTCGCTCGCGGCACGAAGGGACGTCACACAACATTTCAAATGAATTGAGGTGTCGGGTTATGTTAGTGGCGAAGCCGAGGGATGACAATAACGATGCCGGCCAGAATAAAAGAGGATCGTTTTCTTAGGGCGGTAAGAGCAAAAATCAGATTTAAATAAATACAATCAATACAGTCACCAATGAAATGGCAGTAATTACGCAGTATATAGAAGAAAATGCGTGAGATTCGACTTCCCGGGCTGAGGGACTTTGGTTAAGCATCGAAGCGCGTGTAATGTGTCTTTTTCTGCTGTGATGTCCAATGCATGAAGGCAAACGTAGTCCATTAGATCTGTAGGAGAGTGTCGTAAGCTCAGGCAGAAGCGGGTCCAACTCCAACGTGCAAGGTGCCCTACAGTTTATGACAGCGGTGACGGCACTTATGGCCAGCTCAAGCTGCGCTGGCGAGCTATACAATGCAACTGGCAGGTTTATGGAGCTCGAGCCTTAATTCGACGTGTGGGTATCAGTGGGTACATCATCTTCTGCGCATATATCAGCTCTAGCGTTGCGGCTGGTGACGTTGCTTACCAGATTCGCGTCGTGACATTGACGTCCTCGTAGTTCAACGCCATGCTGTCGTCTGCGACTGGGACTGTTATGTTGAGCTACCTGCAGCCCATCCTCATTCCCTACTTCCCCGTCTCGCGATCGGAGCATGCGCATTGCGGCGTACGAAATGCAATCCTCCCTACAAAGTTGAGGACGCAGATTATGTAAGCGAGTCGCGCAGCGGCTCGCAAAGTGGACGCGGAGCCATTGCAGCGGATGCGCCCAGACGGTTGCCCAACTAACATATTATCTTATTTTTGAATATTGCTAGTGTGCCGCTAGTGTAGCGGTTAGTGTGATGGGTTTTTTCAGATGCAATGCTGCGAGCTTGAGGTTCAATCCCAACCACGGACAATATTTTTCACTTGTGATGATTCTAGTTGTCTTCACTCCGTAACGCAACTTGAAAATTTTCTTTTGTTCTCTGTCTCATCATGCAGTCATTGCAAGGCGCCGATATCGATGACATTGTGGCACTTTGAGTCCAGACAAGGGCCAATCTATACACAAAGCCTTCACTTGGTATTATACTTTGGGGTTCAGTTTCAAAGAATTAGAACTACATGTGTACTGATATACAAAACCATTCAACTTCTCATGATCATGGGAGGTGGTGTTACCGGTGTACGAATGAATTGCAGTGAGTACACAACCTCCTCACCGCCTTAGGATTCCCATTCTGAAGCGAGTCGCCCAGACTTCAGACGAAGTCCCTCGCGACGCTGCGGGGTTACCGCACAGTGTCTCGACCTTCCATTTATAGCGACTCGCGTCCTTAACTTTGTAGGGAGGATTGCACTTTCTTTGCGGCGTTTACGTGGTCTGCGTTTGGTAGATCTAGGCTTATGGGCCCATCAGGATAGTCGAGGAGCAGCTCGTCGGTGAGGGGCAGGCACGATGGCGAGTTCTTACCAGTGAGATGTGTTGCGCATCTATCAGTAGTCCCTCAAGTTGGATTTTTCCAGCTTACGGTACATGGCAGGTGGTGTGCCATATATGGCGACACCCTCTTTCCGTGGTAAACCCAGACATCGATTAGTCGGGATGTCTGGGGTCTTTGACCTCGTCTCTCCTTCTCAGCCGCCAGAATCTCAGCCAACCGAACGGTCCGAACGCTCTTTCTCTCAAGAGTTGTGCCGTGTGGCGTGGCTTATCAGATGGGTAACAGACCCATAAAAGCCGTGCTGATGCCCAGCGGTCCTGCCTCCTGACATGATCCCTCAGACGGGTGCCAGTTGTCTCTGTCTCGTTGCGACCGAATTGCGCGATTCAAGATCTTTTGGATGCATGAATTGTGAGGTTTGTACCTCTATTATATATGACAGGCTGATGCTCTCATGGGTATCGAACACAACGGCCAAGTCACATAACGATGTTTCCATTGCAGTCAGAACCCTCAAATTGGACGGTCGTAAGCCAACCTAAAGTTGTGGCGGATACGAATACTATCATGCTCAGAGTCCGAAATCGCCTTCCTCCGCCGTATCTATTCACCTCTCTCTACCCCCGATGCCTCTCTCGACAGTCAATCTCCCCATCGACGACGAAACATCCTTTTCTCCTCACCGGTCCACGAATATTCCCGTAAAGTGGTTCCCCCTCTGCTCTATGCTCGTCAAGATAATATTTTCCATCGACATCCGCTCACGGCCGCACTCGCACACTCCAAACTGGTCAGATGAATGCCCTAGTTGCTGGCATACAGTTCGCCTCTGGGCCTATCACTAGGTGAGCAAGCCGACCGGTCCAGAAACATATGATATAGCTTACATCGCTTTCTCTACACCAACGCCCAAAATGTCGAGCAATCATCCGCGCCAAGTCCCGGACTCTGATCGTATCGTTGGTTTCGTTTAGATTGACGCGTATGGCCTGTCCGTGTTGTCGGTACTAAGGATCGGTAAGCAACTATTTCTGCTGTCGCGAGAGGACGAGACGTACTTTGAATTTGAGAAGACAAGGCTGGTATCCGCCTTCGTCTCTTTGCATCATTATGTCGTCTCGACGTCCCCACCCCTCCATGCTGTCTCCATCGAGCACATCGACGGACACGCCTTTGAATACACAGCGCTCTCGAATGGCTCTGTCTCTGACGCCAATCGAGATAATTCCTTCAATCTTTCGCGGTCTTTTTCGTTGTTTTGGCGCCGGGGCGCGGACCGGTGCAAGCCACTCTGGCCTCTCTGCCGTAGACTGCGGCGGACGATAAAAGCGAAAGATGCACTGTCGGCCACGGGTGGATTTACCCCATGACGATGGTGCAGCAACTGACTGCGGGAGAGCTGAGGTGCTCCCCTGTGGTGCCGTCGCTAGCTGTTCCGAATGTTCGGTGAGTTGATTGGTTTGGTTCCCGGGAGCCGTCGATTGACTCATTTCAGGTGTCGATGCCTGGAACTCCGGGAGTTGGTTATAGGGCTCGTGGGTATCGCTAAAAGACCCTATCCCCTGTGCCGGCCATACTGGGCTTTGATTGGTCACCGCCGCGTATTGGCGGGACATGATAGTCAGTACCTCGGGGACCACGCACGTAAGTCAGCTCGTACCTCCTCCGCCTCGTATAAAGGCTGTTGAAGCGAGTTAGTGAGATGAGCTGGCCGTTTTCTGATAAGGATATATGACGAATCCTCTTGGGCTTGTTCTGCCTTCGGTACGTAGAGCTAGAGGACCGAGAATGAATATCCAAGGTTAGAAGATTGTGTAGGCGCGCTCGCACCTGATCCGCTCCATTATTCCACGTGCCTCCGAGGCCCGTATCTGTGAACACGACGTCGTTGAGGTCTTGCTTATCCCGCAAATCAATATCGTAAGGATCCGCGTCGGCTGTCTCTTTTCTGGATACGAAGCTTTCCAGCTTTGCCAGGAACTAGGACGACGCGAGGCTCAGTCCTGAAGGTAGATTGTAAGTGAGAGCTCGTACCTGATTATCAATCTCCACTTGTACCTCCCCCCACCCTTCCATAGGCGTGATCTGTGAAGCAGAGAACATTGACGATATACTCCCGCCGTCTTCGCTAGGCGTCACCATTGATATGGGAGTATCATACGCCTCAATTGATGCTAGTGCCCCGGTGCGGATCCCGTCCTGTGGCTGACCATATCCCGTTGGCTGAGCTGTTGACGATAATGGTGACCCAGCCAGGTCGCAGTAGCTGGCGTACGTCGACTCGGGGATGGCATCCACCTGGACCGCTTCCAATGCTCCATGACAGGTGGATGATATTGGCAGGTCGTACATCGATGTTTGATGCGTCGATGGGAGTGAGGTGGTGCGGTCACCAGACGCAGGGGAAGTCGGCAATGTGGGGACGGTAGATGTAGCAGTAGGTAGGTATGGCTCCTCAGATGTCTAGAGCTTTTAGTATTGATCCATAGTACAAGAATAGGTGTACTCATACCTTTGCTTCTCGCCTCTCACCGAGC